CTCAGCACAATGTCCTCCAGGCTCACCCATTTTGAATAATATTGCATGAGTTCCTTGTTTTTCAATGCAGCATAGTATGCCATTGCGTGAATATACCACAGCTTCTCTATCCATTCATTTGTTGATGGGCACCTGGGTTGTTTCCAACTCCTTGCTATTGTGAACAAAGCCACGATAAACATGAGTGTGCAAAATTGTACACTTCTATAGTAAAGTGAAGATGCCCTGGTAACTTAGTTTATATCATGGTACTAATCAAAACATTGGTGGTTCAAATCTACCAGCTGTTCCATGAGAGAAAGATGGTCTATCTCTTCCATTAAGGATTTGCAGCCTCAAAACCCAGTGTGATCTCACTGTGAGTTGAAATTGACTCTATGTCCATGGGTAAGACTGGATGAGGGAGACACTAGATGAGAGGGTCAGTGGTTGAGAGCTCAACTATTAACTAAAAGGTCAGCGGTTTGAACTCATTATCTGTTTAGTGGGAGAAGGATGAGACAGCCTATTTCTATGAAGATTATAAAATCTTGTGGAGCGATTCTGTTCTCTCTTATAAAATTGTCATGAATTGGAATTAACTTAATGGCAGTGAGTTTAATGGATGTGATTGACTGAGTCATTGTTTACTTAAATGGCACTTGAGAAATTTGGAGGGGTTTTTTAGGGGGTGTTTTTTGTTTGTTGTTGGGTTTTGTTTTGTGTGTGTGTGTGTGTGTGTGCCTGTTGTGTATTTCTATTAATAAACAGGTCTGAGGAGAAATTGGATTAAATATATTATCAACTCAATCTTCTTCCTCAAATGACTGGCTGATATAGTAAGACTGCAGCATTACTCATCTATTTGGAGTATCAAGCCTTTGCCTTGAAGAGATTTAGTCTGTCCAGATCAGAAAATGCTGAAGGCTGAGCCTTTGGCATTGAAGTGAGTAACTCCAGGCACACCTGAGACTGCTTCTCTAAGAAAATGAGTTCGTTTGATGTTTTATTTTACTGCTAAAAAGTATTTTGTTTCACTTCCTATTCTAAAGAAATGGATAGAGGTGGCAATCTCTCCAATCCTGGAATCTCTCCACTGACCCGGTTGATTGTATTAAGAAATATATTGACTGAAAACTATTTATTAATTTTAATGAAAGTTTACAGATACTTAGGGTTTCCAGCCATTCATTATTACACTTTTCTCCCTGCCCATCCCCTCCCCCCTAATTCATTCTTCTTGTAAAGAAAAAGAAAAACTCTTTCATTGTTATGCAGTCCCTCCCCTCAAGTCCACTCCACTATGCAGCCTTCACTTTGGACCTCTGTAATGACAAGAATACCCATCCATATGTCCCTTTTAAACAGTTCTCTTCCTCATCTGTTTCAATGCAATATACATCATTCCTCACCTCCTATTCTGTCTTCCCTCAACCCCGATGTCAGTCTCATTTTACAGCAGTGGCCCTATGCAATACTTGTCCTTTTGTGACTTGGCTGTTTCACTCAGCATAATGTCCTCCAGGGTCATCCATTTTGCATAATATTTCATGAGTTCCTTGTTTTTCAATGATGCATAATATTCCATTGTGTGAATATACCAGAGCTTCTCTATTCATTCATTTGTTGCTGGGCACTTGGTTTGTTTCCAGCTCTTTGCTATTATGAACAAAGCCACAATAAACATGGGTTTGCATATATCTGCTTGGGTGGCAGTTATGGTTTCTTTAGGGTAAATTCCCAGTAGTGGAATTGCTGGGTCAATTGGTATATCTATTTGCAACTTTTTGAGAAAGTGCCATACAGCCTTCAATAGTGGTTGCACCATTTTACACTCCCACCAACAATGAATAAGGGTTCCGGTTTCTCCACCACCTTGCCAGCATTTAATGTTTGCTGTTCTGTTAAATTTTGCTATTCTTACTGGGGTAAGATGGTATCTCATAGTTGTTTTGATTTGCATCTTTCTTAGAGCTAGGTTTTTTGAACACTTTTTCATGTGTTTGTTTGCCATCTGAATGCCTTTTTTGGTGAAATGTCTGTTCATATCCTGTGCCCATTTTTCAATTGGGTTATTTGCTTTTATCTTGTGGATATAAGTCCTTTATCTGATATGTCATTACCAAATACTTTTTCCCAAATCTGTGGCTTCCTTTTTTACCCTGTTGGAGAAGTTTTTGAATGTGCATAGAGATTTAATTCTTAGACGGTTCCATTCATCTGTTTTAACTTCTCCTGGTTGTAGATTACTGAAAACAAAATTTAACTTCTGCTATCTCTTAGTTATTTGAGGAGTGGGCAGTATAACCTATCCATTTTTTTAAACCTATCCATTTTTTTTGTTATTGTTATTCTTTTTTTAAAAAAATAATTTTAATGAGCATTTACAGAGATTTTGGATTTCCATTCATTCATTGCAGCATTAACCTGTCCATTTTTTTAACTGATTCTCCAAATAGTCTTTATTTGTCTCTGCATGTTTAGGCACTAAAGTTTCTACATGACAAGGGTTTCCCTTATGGCCATCTTCATGCCTCCAATGTGATGCTAGATGGGGATACTTGCCGGCTGCTAGACCTTGAGAATTCCTTACTGGGCCTTCCGTCCTTCTACCGGTCCTACTTTTCACAGTTCAGGAAAATTAATGTAAGTTGATGGAAAGTAATGACGCACTAGGTTTGTTTTTCATTATAAACTGTCCCCATGGCAGAACCTGTGATCTGCCATGTTGGAAATATATAGTAAGTTTAGGACCATACATCTGGGATGGGGTGGGCCTGTTGATCCTGGTTCTACCACAGAGCATGTCTGTATCCCCAAGAGGCTGAGCTGAAATGAGAGGTGGGGCAGGAGGAGGAGGAGAGTGACTGGTTGGAAAAACATGGAGAGTGTGATCAGTTCCTGTGGTCTGAGCAATGCCTTGTGAGCTTTACAGAAGGCTTCGTTTTTCTCCAGAGTGAGGTTGCCTTTGTTTATCTGTGGAAGCTTGAGTCTTGAGGACAGGATTCATAAAACCAAACTGCAAGGTGGTCATGTCACTGCTGTTTTCTTCCACAGACGCTGGAAAGTGTAGATGTTCACTGCTTTGGCCACTTACTGTATGAAATGACCTACGGACGACCACCAGACTCAGTGCCTGTAGACTCCTTCCCTCCTGCACCGTCCATGGCTGTGGGTCAGTATGGGGTTTGGCACTGTCTCCCACAGTGTGACCCGTAGAGGCTCCTTCCCTTTCCAGAGTCTAGAAAACATCAGACTTCTCCACCACCAGAAATTCTTATCCATTTTAAAAGTAGGACAAGTTTAGTAACTTGCTTCAATACAGTAAAGTGAAAATGTCAGTTTTTCTATTTTCCCCACTATCTCATATCTCAGAGAACTTTTGGAAAAAACCTTGGAAGTTCTCTTAGTTATCTAGTAGTCCTAGAACAGAAATGTCACAAGTGGATGCCTTTAACAAAAAGAAATTTCTTACTATCTAGACTAGAAGTCCAGATACAGGGTCCCTGTTCTAGGGGAAGGCCTGTTTCTCTCTCTGTTGGTTGTTGAGAAAAATCCTTGTTTCTTTCAGCGTCTTTAGGCCAGGAATTCCTTGACTATCTCCATGTGTCCCAGCCTTTCCCAGTGTCAGGGAGCCTGCTTGAGCAGCAGCAACCTGGGTCCCAATTGCACTCCGCTCCTGGCTAGTCTTTCTGGATAGTAGCAGGGTCTCCACTGTAGGTCCTGCACACAGCAGATTGAAACCGCCTAACACTGTGCCGTCTTCACAGTCTGCTGTGCTTAAGCCATTGTTGCAGTTACTGTGTCAGTCCATCTCGTTCAAGGTTTTCCTCTCAGCAAGTTTCCACTTTCCCAAGCATAATGTTTCCTTCCAAAGACTGGCCCTTCCTGACTTCATGCCCCAAATCAGGCAGACAAAGTCTCTCAGGAGTTACAGCATTGCATACATGTGTTTTGAAGAGATACAGTTGATTCCATGACAGAATCAGAAGATATAAGGTGAATGAGTCTAGTGGTGGGTTTTAGGTGTAGAAACAAAAGCCAGGAGCAGGTTTCTTGTAACCATCCTTGGACTCAGATGAGTGAGCTGCAAGAGTCAGACCAGAGCTAGAGGGGGCCTTATAGGAGCAAGAAGGCCCAGTGCTCAGGATGTAGATGGAATAAAACATCCAAGCAAATTGGATCTGAGAGCTCTGTCAGCCTTACCTGAGAGGGCGGAGGCGAGCTGGGAGGCAGGTGGAAGGTACCTTTAAGAAGGTGGGGTGTAGGAACCAATGTGGACATCCAGGAACCCGTCCGTCCTCCTCCATAGCTGGCTCAGCTAGAGTAGAAGGAAGGGAGGGGAGGAGAGGACCACTGTGCCTTTGAGTGTGGAAGTCAACTTTTCATAAATAATAGTTTTGTGCCAAATGAGGTAGTTCCAAGGAAAAAGCCCTCAGGTGGCTTTGTGTTGAGTGTAAGCAGCTGAAACAAAACAGTGACCTGTTAGTGGAGAAAGCCCACAGCTTTTGTTTACAGCATGCAAGGTGCTGGATGATGAAGGATCAACAATTGGCATTTTGTGTGCTGGTTTACATTAAAAACAGGCAAGCGTCAAACTGTCTTTGAGGTTCGGAATTTTGCTTCTGTGTGGTGTTTACTTCTCTGTGAGCAAACACTTTTATGAATGCTATTTGGACTCCGTCCTCCAATAATTCTTTAAATATATATATATTTAGCTTTTCCATCAGCATGCGGTTTCTGAGCCATTTCTTCTGACTCGCCCGGAAATGTCGGCATTGCCAGCGTCCCGTTCCCACCCCCACTCCCCCACGTGTACCATCTGTCTGTGTGTGAAGAGTTTTGACACTGTCTCGAGCAGCCTTCAGACAGTTGTTACAAAGCGGTGTCAAACTTTTCATCACCAAGTGGATTTGCCAGCTTGTTCTGTGGAACTAAAATGTCTATCTGTTCATTTCAAGTGGCCGTGTTGGAGTCCACGCTGTCTTGTGAAGCCTGTAAAAATGGCATGCCTACCGTCTCCCGGCTCTTACAGACGCCGTAAGTCAATCACTCGCCCTGGTTGTGACCTTGAGAACTGTGTTAAAAGACCAGGCCACCGTGCCCACGGGCCTGGTACCATACTCCACACGGGGTTGCCGTCCTCCCCGTCTCGGAGTGACCTGCATGCTGTGGTCACTCTGCAGCATGACTTCACGACCCTTGCCTTGTGACTTCTCTACTGCCTTCGTGTGGTTGCTCGCCTTTAACGTGACTGTTGTTTCCCATGTGTCTCTCCTTGCTAGATGTCAGCACTGTGTGCCCGCGCCTGTGGGTGTTCACATAATCCTCCGTGGAGGCAGTTCTGGAGGAGAGCCCTCCCAAGCAGCTCTCCTTTGTGACCCTCCTTGAGAAACCTGCCAACAGCCCACATCCACGAGCAGTTCACAAGTTCCCAGAGCTTGGAGGGTCTGCCTGCTAGAAGAAGGGCACTCTGTTTCTGGGCTCCCTTGCTTTTATTTATTCACTGGATGTCGTTTTTAAACATCCATGATGTCACACGGGGCTAGGGAGTTAGCCCTCAGAAGGCATTCTCCCTGAAGCAAGGCTGGGTCTAGTTCATCAGAGCAGTGGAGAGATTTTAGGACTTTTTCTTGAAATACCTTTACTGTCTGTCACGCAGCAGCGGTTGGAGGAGTATGGGCCGTCCTGAGACTGGGCATGTTTACCTGGGCAGGTAGCTAGCTGCCTAACTCCCTGAAGTGGAGTTTCCTCAACTATAAAATGGTGATAATACCCTCCACCTCAGAGGCTCCTGGGAGAATCTAAATGAGACAATTCCTACTGCCAGACATTTAATTAGTGCTTATCAAATATTAGTTATGATTACTACTGAGTCGGCTTATATTCCTTGAGCATCGGTTGTGTGACACACTGAGATGTCTTCAGGGCCCTGAACTTCACCTTCCGAGGGAGAGAGAGAAAAGACTGAGCATTGTTGAGATTGCCCCGTGCCATGCAGTGTACCAGGTGCTTTGTCCCCCTGGTTGTTGGGTAACAAAGGGGCTTAACAAACAGTTAGGTGAGGAAACCAGGTAGAGGGCACTTTGTAAGTGTATGTGGCCACTGGTACAAGGAGGTAGACAGCACTTCAGGTCCCCTTTCATTGTTGCAACAGGTTTTTGCCGAAGGTCCATGGCACGCCGGTGGTTTAACACATTGCCGCACACTTTTTAAATTGACGACTATGCTTAAAAACACATTTGCTGTCATTTGTGGCAATGTGTGAATGGTGGTTAACATGTTAGACTGTTAGCCAGATGGTGACAGTTCAAATACACCCACCACTTGAAGACCTGACGAAGGGCTGCCATGAATCAGGATTGATGATGGCAGTGGGTTTAGTTTTTGTTTAGTTGATTGGTTAAGTGCCTGGCTACTAACAGAAAGGTCAGTGGTTTGAACCCACCAGCTGCTCTGAGGAGAAAGACATGGTGATCTGCACCCATAAAGTTCCAGCCTAGGAAGTCCTGTGGACACTTCTGTCATCCAGGGTCACTCTGAGTCAGAACGGACTCAGCCACACATGACAGCTGTGATGCAGGCTGTCCGAAGTCCAGGGAAGACTAAGCTCCAGCCTGAGACACCCGAGCGTCTCCCTCTGAACCCTCATTAAAACAACATAAACGTGGAAAAATACGTTCAATTAAGAGGGAGGATAAAAGACAAACTTTTAGAACAAAATGTGTTTGTAGCGAGGGAGCAACATGTACTCTTGTAGATTTGTTTGAGTTTGCATTTGCACCTCCCACTCCAGAGCTCTGACATTTTCTTCAAATATTTTTTTCTTTCTCCTCTGTAGGCTCCCAGCCTTAAAAGGAGGAGTATTTTTAAAAGTGTGAACTATGTTCAGTTAAACTTTACCTTCTAGAAGTAAGGGGCCTAAGAAGGGATGAGTTTTCTCACCACCCCCAAAGCCATTTGGGCATTATGGGGGAAAGTCAACTGCCATTTCTACTTGTGATGCATTTCCTGGATTTCTTTTTAAAAGTTAAATATTCAAGGAAGGGCTATTGTTTTTCATAAAAAAAAAATTTGAGAGAGAAATGATATGATCTAGCAACTGCTATTCTTTTATGAGAGCATGAGAAACTTTTTATTAAAAGAAAATTATTTACTTGCTAGATTAAAATCGGGACAACTCCTTTCCACTTACTTAACCACTTTTGTTCTAGTGCACTGTAGACTAGATCTTATCATCCTTTCAGGCAAAAAAGAAAAGCAGTTATTCGGTTTAGAAAATACTTACTATGTATATTACTTTTGAAAGTAGTTTTTGTTTCTAACTGTTAATTAAATGACCACATAGGATAAGAGGACTGTTCCTATGGTTGGGAAATTAATCCAATCCCCCAAGGTAGTGAGGGGTGCATTCGGGTTTCCCTGAAGTCAGGGAAACTCCTGTAAACTCCCATAAGTTTGTTGATAAATGTAAATGCTAAATTGAACTCAAGGTGCAGACATGGGGGGGGGGCGAGAGAGCACATGAGCTAAAATTGTCTTAATTTGTTTTGATTTGGTTCTGAGAGTGCACCCGGTTTAAGGAAATTTTCCCCTTCTTTTGTTTGATTCCTTTGCAGACTCTTCAGTGATGTTTTACTAACCACTTCTGAAAAGCCACAGTTTAAGGTAAAGCAAATCTTAGCATTTTTGAGATTGTGACGTTAAAAAGTTGACTTTGCAATTTAACTTTTTTTTAACAAAAAAAAAAAAAAGACACCATATTTAGAATAGGAAAAAGTTGAAAGCCATCTAATCTACAGTTAGAAATAAATTTCATCAGCTATGGCACATAAGTTTGCCAAACTGCTTTTTATTTCACAAAGATAAAATTGCAATATGACATTGCAATATCATGGAAAATTATTGTGATGTCATTAGGAGGCAAAGATGAATGAGGCTCTGTCACACATACTTTGGGCATGTTGCTAGGAGCAACTATTCCCTGGAAAGGGACCTCATGCTTGGAAAGATGGAACTTCAGTGGAAGAGAGAAAGATCCCCAGTTTACATAAACTAACATGGTGACTTCTGCAGTGGGCTCAAGTGTATCAGAGATGATGAGGTTGGCACAGAATAGGACAGGGCTCAGATCTGTTGTTTATTGAGCAGTTGTGAGTTGTACTCAACTTGACAGCACCTAATAACAACAACAAGCAGGGATAAAAAAGTATATCTAGTATAGTGTGTAAAAGATTCTTTGCCTAGAAAAATTATTGGAAGGAAATACCCTGGGAAGCAGTGGTGTCATGTGGTGATATAGGCTTTGAAACCTGAAACACCGGACTGATGCCTAACCTTTTTTTTTTAATGAATTTTAATGAAAGTTTACAAAGTTTAGTGTTTCCAGTCATTCACTGTTGCACTTTTCTCCCTGCCCACCCCCACCCCCAATTCACTCTTTTCCTTGAAAAGTAAAAGAAAAACTCTTTAATGGTTATGCAGTCCCTCCCCCCAAGTCCACTCCACTGTTCAGACTTCATTCTGGACTCCTGTCATGATAATAATACCTAATCATATATCCCTTTTAAACAGTTCTCTCCCTCATCTGTTTCAATGCAGTATATATCATTCCTCCCCTCCTTCTCAGCCTTTCCTAAACCCGAATGTCAGTCCATTTTATGACAGTGGCCCTATGCAATAGTTGTCCTTTCGTGACTGAGATATTTCATTCAGCATAATGTCCTCCAGGTTCATCCATTTTGCATAATATTTCATGAGTTCCTTGTTTTTCAATGCTACATAATATTCCATTGTGTGAATATACCAGAGCTTCTCTATCCATTCTTTTGTTGATGGGTACTTGGGTTGTTTCCAGCTCTTTGCTATTGTGAACAAAGCCACAATAAACATGGGTGTGCATTAACTTTTTTTTAAATGGATTCATTTTATTGAGTTAAAAGCTTACAAAAAAGTCTACTGGCCCCTCCCTCCCTGCTCCCCACTGCACACTCCCCTTCCATCTAACAAAAACTCTTGAAGGTCCACAAACACTCTAAGTCACTGGTTTCCCACAAGGCACAAAAGGGTAGTGACTTCCAGAGGATCCTTTGTTCGGAGCAGCAGGACAGTTAGTGCTGGGCATCTTGTACAAATGGTGGCTGAGAGCGCCCATCCATTCACTCAGACACTGGGATCTTCCTTTCTCCAGAGGAAGGACTAGGCGCTAGGCCCACAGTACTCATTGCAGATGAACTAGAAGAGGGTGATGAGGGAGGCCACACTAAACCAGCAATGGAAGGCAGCCCCGGGTGTGCTCATCGTGGGCCAGGATGGCCTTGAGGTGCAGCGTGTGCTACAGTACGTGAGGTCAGTGGAGAGGTGGAGCAGGGCTGATGGGCTGTGTCACCGTGGTGGAGAGTGTGTGGCCTTGGGGTGCTAAGGTCAACTCCACAGGGTCGTCCAGGCAGCCAGCTTCACTGGCGTAGATCATGACAGGCTAGCCGTGGGACTCCGTGGACATGTGCAGGTAGGACTTGCCTTGCCCATCTGTGAGTACTGCTAGACTGATGCGGTCTTTCTTGTAGCAGATGCCACGTAGCAAGTAGCTGCTATGCAGCTCCTCAGGGTTGGCCTGGAACTGGAGGTGGTTCTTGGTGAACTGCATTCCACCGAAGCTGAGCACCATGAGCTATGTCATGCCCAGGGCACCCACTTTCCCCAGCCCCTTTCAGCCATGCTTCTGCAAGGTCAGCTTCCACAGGGCAGGCAGCTGCAGAATCTGCTGCTCTGTGGACAGCTGCCCAGGCTGGAAGTTTTCACATGCATGGAGACGTGGCCACTGAAGTAGTGATCTTCGTGGTTGAGTGTAGACTCCATCAGGTCTCCCTCCTGGTGCTCAGGACGGGGCTAAGCAGCAGCGCTGGGGAGCAAGAGCACATATAGTACAGTGTCAGGTCCACGGTCAGGTTGACCAGCATGTGAGTGCCCATGATCTTCATTTCCACTCCTGGGTTAAAGAGCTGGGCCCAGAGACACTGGTGGTCCTGAAGTAATTCATTCACTGGCTTCTCTAGGAGTCTCAGCATTTCCTTTCAGGCCAAGTGCTGGAGTGTTTTGAGTTCCTTGGCTGTTTTGCTCTTAAGAACCAGAGGGTTCACAGGATTGGAGATATGGACCACCTCCAGCACTGTCTCACCCATTTGTGTCCTGGCAGCCACCTGGAGCCTGGTCACTAATTCTTGGCGGTCACCATTACCAGGTGCACCAGTCCCATGAACAAAGGTGGGGACTGGCTGGAGTAGAGGAGGAAGTGATGGTCTCCATTGTTCTCCAGGGTGCTGGCGAAGGCTGTGGGACCTGGGCCAGTAGTGGGTCCCACAGTCTGCAGGGCGGTCCCACACCCCATGGGCTTGTGGAGCTGCATGTGCCGCAGGTGGTCATGAGGGCAGCCTGGTGAGCCAGGAAGTTCTGCTGAAGTGGCTCTCAGTTACAGCCAGTCCCCCTCGTCACTGCTGCAGACACATCAGGCTTCTGGGCACCCCGCTCACCAGCCTGGCCCAGATCATGCCTAACTATGCCCAGGTGGCAGCCACTGCAGTAGCCGTCACTGCCACTTCCACCTTTTCTGTTTCCCTAACTCTATTGTTAAGATTTCAGAAATTTCTCTAGGCCTGAGCTCAGGTGAGTGGAGGGAGTTGGGCTGCTAAACTAAAGGAGTTACTGCCCTGGCGTTTGAATCCACCAGTGGCTCTAAGGCGGAAGGATAGACAGTCTCCTCTCGTGTAGTCTACAGCCCCTGAAAACGCACTGGAGGGCCAGCTGTAAGCCAGTTCCAACTCAGCAGCAGTGAGTTGATTTGGTCTGTACCGAGGTCTCAAGCTCAGCATTTGACCTTTGGATCAGTTAATTCTTTGCAGTAAGAGTCTGTACTATGTATTGTAGGATATTTAGCAGCCTCCCTTGTCCATGTCCACTAGATATCAATACCTGTGTCCACCCCAAGTTGTAACAACTAAAAATAACTTTACACCATGGCCCTTGGGTGCTAGGAGTTAGCTCGCCATAGGATTACTTGAGTTTGTGGAGTGCAGAAAGGAATTTTTCCACAAAGAAAATCCCTGTGAATAGCTGAGGTTGTAAAATACTATAATTACCTGGATTTTTGTAGGTGATCTCAAGTGGTGCTTTAATGCTGTGTGTTCATTGTTAGAAATGTTAGAGTGAAGAGTATACTGGGGACACCAGAAAGGTCTCGGGTAGGATTTGTGTGAACGGTTTGTGAATGATTGTTCCAGATGACCTCCTTTTGATAAACAGCTGCTCCCTCTTTGAAACCCATCGATTAAATAGATCCCGTACTTCCTGTCTCTTCCAGATCCCCACAAAGTTAAAAGAGGCATTGAGAATTGCCAAAGAATGTATAGAAAAGAGACTAATTGAAGAGCAAAAGCAGGTAAATTGCTCATCCCATTCCCCATTGCCCTCTGATTTTTCCGTCTCCCTGTCGTCAGCAGATCCCACCATGGTGTTGACAGTGGTTGGCTCCTGACTTACTGTTCATCCACAAATGATTCCTTCACATTTGCTCTGAAGGGGCCCAGCTAACTGCTGGGACACAGAGCAGAATGCCTCACATGGTCCTGCCCTCTAGGAGCTCAGTAGGGACACCAAGCAAGTCCACAGAGGGTAATCGTCCTGTGTGGTGAGGGGCCCCTCAGGAGATGGTGGACACAGGCCACACTTGGCTTCTTCAGGAGAGGGAAAGGCAGCAAGGAACCCAAAGAAGTGAGAAAGGCCTGCTTCCTCCGATATGTATGCTTCTCCCAAGCGTCCAGACCCTCCCAAGCCAGGGTCCAGCATTCTGGGTGAAGAGAGAGTCCTATCCAAATAATATGATCTGACAAAACACATTGGGGAAGATTTTCATTAGCAAAATGCCTTATGAAGGATTGTTTACATTTGTGGTGGGTTGTTCTCTCTTCTAGATTCACCAGCATCGAAGACTGACAAGAGCACAGTCCCACCATGGCTCTGAGGAGGAAAGGAAAAAGAGAAAGATTTTAGCTCGAAAGGTGAGCCTGACATCTCTCTGGATTTCCTCTCTGAATCTTGACTTCATGTGAACTAAGTTCAGGGTAAAACGGTGCGCATTTAGTTAATGGCAGATTTGGGGCTAGAGCTCCGTGAATGCTAAAATTATTTCCAGATGACTGCTTTGCAGCTTTTAAAAAAGAGCCACATACTATGAGCCGAGAAATGGACCATGTAGTCCCCTGGCGCACTGGGCTGCTTGTGTACTGTAACTCGGGGGAGTGATTGGCCTGAGATAGCAAATTCCACATTCTTGGTTTTATTTTCCCCTTTAGTTTTGCCTTGTGGCTTCTTCACTGTATTAAGTTATGAAGCCACATATGACCTTGCCTGTAACTAGTTTAGCTGTGTGCCTGGAAAATATTCTTCATTCTAAGTTGCAGCCTTGCCATGTTTGTTCACTGCTTTTCCTCCCCCTTCTTGTATTTACAAAGAAGTCAAAACGATCTGCTATTGAGAACAGTGAAGAACACTCAGCAAAATACAACAATTCCAATAATTCAGGTAAGTGGCTTTGCCTGTGGAAGGGCCCCGCCCCCAGGAGTCTGGAGCAGGAGTTTTGGTCAAGAGCCTGGTGGGATTCTTGTGACCACTGTCACAGTGAACGCAGAGGACACAGAGCTCCGCCTGTAATGAGCAGCCGAGGGCCAATCATGAGGTCACAGAATGCAAGGTCTGAAGGAACCCTCGGGACTGTTGACTCATCCGTTCTCTTTACCAACGTTAAGAATCGATCAGCCAAAGACGCAGGAGCACAGTCACAGTCAGGAAAATGGACTGGACTTAAAATGCAGGGTCTCCAGGTTTTCAGTGGAGCCTGCAGGCGCAAAAGTGACCTTAGATCCTTCTCTCTGCCCTGAGCACCAGGTGGTGGGCGGGCAGGGTGGGATGGTGAGAAGCGCCAGCCCCGAGAGTGCAGCTCTGCTGACCTCGGGCCTCAGCGTCCCCATTTTTTAAAATCAGGGCCAGATCTCTTGGGGACTTTTAACATCTTCTGGCTTATGAATCTTTGAGGTGGCGAATCAGGAAGGGGCCGTTTCCTCCTAACCTAGACAACTTTGATTTAGCCTTGGACCGCCCAGGGAAGAGGAGGCTTTTTACGCTGAAGGATAGTTGAGTGTTCTTTTAGGCAAGGAAGAGTCCAGCTCACTTCCTAGCAAATGTAATAAATCTATACAAAGTATGTGGTGTTTGGGAATGTCACAAAATTCCAGATAAGAAAAGGCCACATACTGACCACACTGACTCTATTTCATATTAGATGAAACCAAAACCTATAATCATCAAGTCCATTCAGTTTGATTCCCACTCATTACAACATTATCGGACAGAATAGGAGGAGCGATCCTAGAGATGTCAAGACCATAATCCTAAAATAACCCAAATAAACAATAACAAAAAACCAAACAGGCAGTTACCTGTTTCTCCCTTAGAGCAGCTGTTCAGGTTCAAACAGCCAACCTTTCATGTAGTAGCTGAGTCCTTAACCACTCTGCGGCCGGGGCCTCCTTACCTCGTTGACTGTAGCAGCTGATGAAAGGGAAATCCTCCAAAAAGCGCTGCTGGGTTGACACTGTGGAAAATCCCTCTTCCTTTGGAGAGAGCCCCGTGGATTACTCTGTACCCCTCTGTGCCTGGCCACTGAGTTGCACTTGTCTCTACCAAGGAGCCCCAGCAGTGCAGTCTTAAGGAAGATGTGCTGCTCACCCAAAGGTCCCACCTTTCTGTGGGTTCACTGCACGGAGAAAGATGGCATGTCTCGTGTGCAGTTTAGTGCCTTGAAAACTTGCTGGAGGGTCAGCTGTGAGTTGGCTCTGACTTGACAGAGCAGATGAGTGGGCGGGTGTGAGTTTTACCTGGAGGGAGTTTGGAGTCAGGTAAGAGGACTACGGCCAAATGCATACGCTGTTGGTTGAACAGAACTGACTTGAGAATGGCAGGCTGTGGGCGGCAGCAGAGGGCCATGAGCCTTCAGTGGCCTGGGAGGAAGTGGATCTCGTACTGGGTGGAAAGCTCTGGTTGTCCAGTGCAGCCTCTCAGTTTTCTCTCCCCTGCCACCATTTTCCATTTGCTATTGGTCAATTTTGGCTCAGGGAGTGCTGGGATAGTATAGATAGTTAACACACTTGGTCATTAACAGAAAGGTTGGAGGTTTGAGTCCAGGGAGAGGTCTCAGGCAGCCTACTTCCAAGAGATCAGCCATCGGAAACCTGAGGGGAACCCAGATCTAGTCTGACACAACAGGGTGGCATCTGAAGTTGGAGTTCAACCCTAACTGTTTAGTTTAGTTATAAATTACTATAAGATCCATGCACCAAGCCAAATGCAGGCTCTGACGCAACTGTGGGTCCCAGCTTGGACCAAATGCCAGGTGTTTTTCTGTAGTGCCCATGAAGGCTTCTCTGTTTTTTCTTAGCAGGATCTGGGGCCAGCTCACCACTTACATCCCCGTCATCGCCGACCCCACCCTCTACAGCAGGTTAGTAACAGAGGTAAACATGCTCCCTGCCTCCTTCCCACCAATGTCTACAGGGAGGACCAGGATGCTTACTCTCCCTCCCTTGGCCCGGACATTTCAGGGTTGGGTAACACCAGCCTTCTTAAGGAAAGCCAGCAGGAGGGCAAAGAATCAGTGTCAGCTGGGAGGGCAGAGGGTCTAGGTTCCCAAACATCTAGATCTCACATGAAATGAAATGGATACAGGACCTCTAACTGCCCTCTGGCTCAGGCCTAATGTGTTTGCTGAAAAGCCTCAGCTCACAGCTTATCCTGGGACTATTCAACTGAACAAAACAAATGCTGCTGCCCAGGGGCCCTGTCCTGCTGAGCGCCCACCCCATGGAGCCCATCATAACACCAGCTTTGTCACGGTGCAAGTCTGATGAAATACCTAAGTGTGAAAATGAAAGACACAGGCGAGTCTCTGATTTCCTGAGAACTGTTTGTGCTCTGTTCTGCTCTGTAATGCATTTAATTACCTGACTCTTTTTCTGGGCCTGGACTTTGATTCTCCCTTGTGAATTGAATCTGATACTATCAGTTTTGCTTGAGAAATGTAAAAAGAATTTATCTCGGGCATCCTTATAAAAATAGTCTATAATTCTTGGAGTGGTTCCATAAGGCTATCTGTGTTCCTTTCTGGACTAACATCTCTCTCTCAAGCATTTTGCAAGCCCAGTGGGAACACAATGGGATGCCAGTAGCTCCTTTGGCTTCTTAAATGAACTGGATGTTCTGGCTGCGCGAGGAGCTGTTTTCTGCCACTCAGACCTTTTCTGCTCTGTTGGGAGGGTCTGAGCAGCCATATGAAGGGAGAGTCAGAGGCTGACGTTGATGCGTGAGTTTATGATACCACATTCATTAAGGTGGCACCTGGGAACTACCAAGAGTGTTTCAGACAGCTTCCCAATGACCTTCCTAAAAATGACAGCAAGCCAGTTTTGGACAACTTGCTTCTGGCTGAGGATGGCTACTAGTCTAGTGGTTTATGACAGAAAGGATTCAGGGGCCAGAACTTGTTTTAAATCACAAAAGACCAGGTTTATAGGGATGGTATTGTCTTTTCTGTCTGTTTGTCAGCATATTTTACAAGAAAACTCCTGGTTATTGACCAACCTCAGAAATAGACTTCTTTGCTTTTTATAGGATTGACCTATATAGGCAAGGATGGTGAAACTTCCTCTCACACACTTTGGGCATGTTGTCAGGAGGGGACCAGTCCTTGAGTACAGACATTATGCTGGGAAAGGTGAAGGGTCGGAGGAGGAGGAAGGGAAGACCCTCAATGAGATAGATTGACACAGTAACTGTGACAGTGGGCTTGAGTAGGTCAAAGATCATGATGGTGACACAGGCTAGGACGTGCTTCAGACCTGTTGTCCGTAGGGTCGCTATGACTTGATGGCACCTAAACAGCAAAAATATAGGCTAATAGAAATACCTAGAGATCTACTGCTCAGACCATGCTAAGCCGTTTCCTAGAAGGTAAGAGTCCTTAGGATATTAGATTCACCCCACTTGGCCGTCTGAAGGAGAGGACCCCTGCTGTGTGCCGAGGAGTCCTTCTGATGTACAGTGAGTGCCCTTCAGCATGGAGGGGGACTGCTCCATAGGGTTTCCTAGCCTGTAATCTTCTCCGGTGGCAGATTCGCATCAGATGAGGTCACTTGTAGAATAAGAGAGGAAGAGAAAAGAATCCTCTTCTGCCATCATGCTTGGCAAGGTGGACGGTCGGTGAAGGAGAGGAAGACCTTCCTTCCACCACATAGGTTGACACAGTGACTACAGCAACGGGCTTGAGAGTGTTGGGTCGGAGATTGTGAGGATGGCACAGGACAGGACAGAATTCAGATCTCTTGTCTATAGGGTTACTACTCAACTAGACCTATTAACAACTTCTGCCGTGAGAGTTATGTTGAAAAGACTTCATTGATTGAGGTGAGTCAGAGCAGCAGGGGGTACCACTGTAAAGCTGGTAACACCTGTCCTGAAGGGGAGTGGTGGGGGATGAGAGGTTCCCCACAAACATTGTCTCCCCCTTTCCTTTGTCTCCATACATGTTTTATTGATGAAATCATTGATTCAGCCCCAGACTCTGTGCTCTGACCTTTACTGGGCATTTGCTGTTAACATATGTCATAAAAATGGAAAAGGACATCATGCTTGGAAGGGTGGAGGGACAACGCAAGAGAGGAAGACCCTGGATGAGATGGATTGACCAATGACTGAGGAAATGGGGGTAGTTGTGTCAGAGAGAGTAAGGTTGGCTCAGGATAGAGCAGGGTTCAGAGCTGTTGTACATAGGGTCTCAATGAGTCACAAGCTGCTCGTTGACACATAACAACAAATACTAAGCAGCCCTGGTGGTGTAGTCCACAGGGCGTTGTGCTGTTAACGTAAAGGCCATGGATTCAAATCCACCGGTGGCTCCTTGGGAGGAAGCTGGACCCTGTCCCCTTGAGGATGTACAACCTTAGAAACCCCACGGAAGGTTAGCTACGAGTCAACTCCAACTTGATGGTAATGAGAGAGAGACTGTTAAGCAAGGAAGCTCTGGTGCGGTTGTCTGTGGAAAGCTGTGCTGTTAGCCTCTGTTAGCCTAAAGGCTGCTCCAGAGGAAGATGGGTGTTCTCTTCCCATTTCCCTTTACAACTTTGAGAACCTGGTGGAGGGTCACTATGAGCCAGAATTAACTGGACGACAGTGAGTGAATGATCGTAAGCAAAGGAACCCTGGTAGTGGAGAGTGGCTAGTGCTCAACCGTTAACTGAAAGACTGGTGGGTGGTTAACCCCCAGCTTCTCCCCAGGAGGAAGATGCAGCGACCTCCTTCCACAAAGATTTGCAGGCCCACAAACCCTGCAAGCTGCTCTGCTCTGTCCTTTGTGGTCACTGCAAGCTGGAATCAACGCTTCACACGCAGCAGCAGCAACAACATTCAACCTTGACCTGTCAGCCTAGGATGTCTAGCCCTAAATGAAGCATCCATGATGATGAGTTTATTCGTTGTTACTTAGGATGCATTTATTGAGTGCCTGCTGTGTGCCAGGCCTTGTGCTCAGCACAGGATGCATCAACGAGGCCTGACAGAGTCACATTTCTGGTTCCTGTCAGGAGCTCTAAAATCATTGACACAATTTAGGCAGACGCTTTCCATGAAGCCCACTTAGAGTTCTTTTCCTAGTGGCTTTCTTCTTAAGCAGAGGATGTCCATCTGAAGCTCTCCCGCTAGTCCACCAATAAGCAAAATCCTTAGTTACTACTCTGTGCCAGTCACTGGGGAGATAGAAACTGGTCACTGAACTCCTAGGGGCTTCTCAGTCCGTCCTGTGGCTTCTCACGGACCTTCTCAAGGCCTTAGTGGAGTGAGGACAGGACTCTCAGTCTGCAGGTGATGTCTTCTGTCAGGTCAACTTCAGAATGGGAGGCAGGGATTTCATCTGGCTCTTTCTCACCAGAATCCCCTTAACTCTGATTTGCATCTTTGTCAGGTGGAGATTCAGAATCCTTGCCTCCAAGGAGCAGCCTGGCTTCACCCTCTCCAGGATGAACCTATTTGTTCTCCTAGCAGTCCATGGTATATTCAGTACTCTTCTCCAACACCACAGCTCAAAAGCATCAATTCTCCTTCTGTCATCCCTAGTCATTGTCCAGCTCTCTGATGCATAGGAAGTAATTGCAGAGACCATGGCCTGTATCTTGATACAGCGCACCTTAGTCTCTGGATTGACACCGTTGCTCTTCACTACTTTGAAGAGATCCCTGATAGCAGACTTTTCCAGTGCAATTTGTCTTTTCATTTCCTGGCTGCTGGTATCAAGAATGTTGATTGTAGTGCCAAGCAAACTGAAGCGGTCAACAATCTTGATCTTTTCACCATCTATCATGATGCTGCCAAACTGCCTAATGGTGAGAATCATTGTTTTCTCGATGTTGAGCTTCAATCCATATTGAAGGCTACAGTCCTTGACCTTCTGCAGCAAGTGCTTCAGGTCCTCCTCAGTTTCAGCAAGCAGTGTTATGTCTTCTGCATAATGCAGATTGTTGATGAATCTACCTCCAATCCTGATGCCACATTTCTCCTCATAGAGCCCAGCCTCCTGGATAATCTGTTCTTCATATAGATTGAAAAGATATGAAGATAGGACACATCCTTGGTGCACACCCTTCCCAATTTTGAATCATGTAGTGTTTCCTTGCTCTGTTCTGACAACTGTCTCCTGGTGTAAGTATAGGTTTCGCACAAGCACAATCAAGTGTTCTGGAATTCCCATTCTTCTCAGAGTCAGCCAGTTTGTTGTGATCCACATAGTCAAATGCCTTTGTATAGTCAATGAAACACAGATAGACATTCTTCTACTACTCTCTGCTTTCAGCCAAGATCCATGTGGCATTAGTTATAATATCCATAGTACCACGGTGTCTTCTAAATCCAGCCCGCACTTCTGGCAGTTCTTTGTAGACGTGCTTTTCCAGTCATTTTTGGATAATCTTCAGCAGAATTTTGCTTGCATGTGATATCAGTGATACTGTTTGATAATTTCCACCCTCTGTCAGGTCACCTTTTTTTGGAATGGGAACAAATATAAATCTCTTCCAGTCAGTAGGCCAGGTGGCTGTCCTCCAGATTTCTTGGCACAACTTGGTGAGCACATCCAGGGCAGCATCTGTTTGTTTGAATATGTCAATCAGTCAGTATGCCATTAATTCCTGGGGTCTTGTATTTTGCCAGTTCTTTCAGAGCAGCTTGAACTTCTTCCTTCATCACCACAGGTTCTTGCTCAACGTTTGATGAGATTCTTCTGTGTCTGCCAATTCCTTTTCCTACAGTGACTCTGTATACTCTTTCTATCTTTTTTTAATGCTTCCTGGACCATTTAATATTCTGCCCAAAGCATACTTAAGTTTATTGCAACTCAAGGTTTGAATTTGTTCTTCAATCCCTTCAGATTAAGAAATGGTTTTTAGATTTTTTTTTTAA